AACCTGGTACCTCTCTTCATAAGGCATCTTCTCTTCGGGGCTGACGTTCTTCCACTTGGCCCCCAAAATGTTTGAGACTTCCTTAAAATCTGCCTCAGGGTTCTCCTTCTTGATCTGCATCAAAAACCACAGGCGGATTCGGAAATTGTTTCGCATTTAAATCACCGGACAATCATAGTGTTCTAATCTCTAATTTACCTCAGCCCACTGATCTTTGCACCATAGGATATAAGGAGGAGCTGGCCTTTTCTTCTCAGTGCACCCCTTCTTTTTCTTGTCTTCAACTGGTTGAGCAATTGGGAATGCCTGATGAAAAATAAGTAACCATTATGTCAACTCCATTTCAAGATCATTATTGGAAGAAAGCATGGGTGTATGGTGATGGGTGTATAGTGACAGAAAGCATGGGTGTATGGTGACCTTTACTTTTCCATGTTTTCCTCACCTTTACTTTTCCATGTTTTCTGCTTGTCCTCACCTTTCTTTCGGCTTCTGTTTTCTTTTCCCTTCTTCCGCTCATTTATATGAGCTTTCCTTGTACTTGGTTTTACATAATACAAAAATATAGACATTCAAAATTCAATATGGTATCAGAGCAGTGACCCTAACCGGCCTGTCTCTATGATGTTCTCTTGAGAGATTTGTGAGCTTCTTGTCCTTCAATCATGGCTGAAGAAAGCTTAGTAAATTTGGAAGGAGACGGCTTTCATGCTACTCCACCATCACCACACTCAGATATTGATATCAACCCAAATCAACGTCTTAGTTCTGTCTTGCTAAATGAGTATAACTATCTTCCATGGGAGAGAGCAGTTTCTCTTACTCTGGGAGGACGATCAAAGCTTGGTTATGTTAATGGTGCTATTCCAATGCCTGAGACTACCTCACCGGAGTATGATGCTTGGCTATGCAAAGACTACTCAATTCCATGGATCGTAAGATTGCAGAAATTTTTAGCTATGTTGAATCCTCCATGACTCTTTGGAAAAATCTCAAGGAAATGTATGGAAATCAGAACAATGCGGCTAGAGTGTTTCAGTTAAAGAAGGACATTGCTGGTTTGCAACAGGAAGGGAAGCCATTTGTGCAACATCTTGGAAAGCTGACCACTATGTGGAACGAGCTGAATGTGTATCGACCACACACCATCGACGCTGCTGTGCTAACTAAAAGAGTCGAGGAAGACAAAATATTCCAACTCCTAGCAAGCCTGAGTCCTGAATTCGAAGATCTTCGAAGTTATATCCTCATGAACCCCGACCTGCCTTCTTTTTCAAGTGTGTGTGCCACAATTCAAAGAGAAGAGGTTCGAAGGAAAGTCATGACCTTGGACATGAAGGCAAATATACCAGAAGCTAGGGCTTACTTCTCTAACCAAAAACTTGGTGAGGAGAAAGGCTACAAAGGAAAGAAAACTGGCTTAAAATGTAGCCATTGTGATGCTGGTGGGCACTCAAGAGATCGATGCTGGATTCTTCATCCAGAGTTAAAACCAAAGTTTCCTAGGGATAACAAAGGTGTCTCGAAAGGCTCGTACAACCCTTCTTACAAGGCAAATCATGTTGCCACAACTTCTTCTGATGAAGCACTGAAGTTCACCACTAATCCAGCTGCACTGATCAACGAGTTTGCTATGTTTCTTCACAAGAAACAAGGTCTTGGAGATAGTGAAGGACCACTAAATCAGTGTGACAACAATCAAACTGCACTACTAGGACAATTTGCTGGCTTCCTGGCTGGAAATGAAGGCATGGTACAAAGGGACATCCCAGGGATCTTACACTCCTTCTCAACTGCTCTCAACATTGGTAATGTGCATGATTATTGGATTATAGATTCTGGAGCCACTGATCATATGACTAACAAGTCTACAAACTTGCATAAATTTGAAAAATTTTCTATTCCATCCCAAGTGTCAGTTGCCAATGGAAAAAATGCTATGGTTGTGGGAAAAGGAAAAATACATTTGATCTCAAGTGATGTCGAGTCTGAGGCTCTTTATGTTCCCTCATTCCCTTTTCAACTTTTATCTGTTAGCAAGATCACAAACTCATTAAATTGTCTTGCCATTTTCTCTCCCAAAAATGTGATCTTTCAGGATGTAGTCACCAAGAAGACGATTGGTGAAGGATTTTTCTTAAATGGTCTCTACTATCTTTCCAAGCATATTCAAGTTCCCAAGGTTTTTCAAGTCACTTCAAGCTTAGCTCAAGAACAACAACTTTGGCACCAACGTCTAGCACATCCTTCTGAAAAAGTTCTATCCACCTTGTTCCCAAATATGTGCAAAGTTACAAGTCCTTGTGATGTTTGTCATTTTTCTAAGTTTACTAGATTACCATTTACTTCCTCTTTGTCTAGGGCTAGTAACCCTTTTGAAATTGTGCATTCCGATGTTTGGGGACCAACTATAGAGTCTTTTGATGGATACAAATATTTTGTAACTTTTGTGGATGATTTTACAAGGATTACTTGGTTGTATCTTTTGAAATTTAAAAGTGAAGTGATGGAAGTTTTTCAAGATTTTCATAGACTTGTGGCCACCCAATTTGCTTCAAAAATTCATATTTTACGATCAGATAACGACACAGAATATATGTCTCATAACATGTCACACTACTTGAGCACGCATGGTATATTACACCAAACAAGCTGTGTTGGAACACCTCAACAAAATGGGGTGGCCGAGAGGAAGAATAGAGATCTACTTGAGAAGACTAGAGCTCTTATGTTTCACATGAATGTGCCTAAGAAGTTTTGGTCTCAAGGAGTCCTTACTGCGGCATATCTCATCAATAGATTGCCTAGTAAAGTGTTGAATTTTAAATCACCTTATGAGGTCTTGAAAAATAGAAAGATCAACTTTTCCCATTTGAGAGTCTTTGGGTGTACATGCTTTGTTCACATTCAAACTCAAAATCGTGACAAGCTAGACCCAAGGGCTGCCAAATGTGTCTTTCTAGGTTATTCATCTACCCAAAAAGGTTATAAGTGCTATAATTCAACAACTAGAAAAATGGTTGTTTCAAGGGATGTTAAATTTGAAGAACATGTTCCTTACTTCTCACAATCACTGGATTACTCTAGACAGGGGGAGCATTTGATGGACTTATTTCCTTTTCCATATCCAAACGGAGAAGATGCAACATGCACTCCTAGTGATCATGTGCCGGATGATGTTAACCTTCACTCGGTGGAACATCTTGAAGATGAAAACCCTTCCTCATCAGAGATTCACACTGCACCCTCCAGTGATCCTTCCAACCATGATGTTGTTCAAATACCTGTAGTTCAATCTCCTACAGTTCGTCGCAATCCTGCACGAGAGAGGAAACTTCCATCCAAGTTGCATGATTATGTGACCTACACTGCCAGGTATCCTGTGACTGATGTTATTGATTATAGCAAAGTCTCATCTTCATTTGCTACATTCCTAAGTGCCATTAATGAAGCTCGAGAACCTCAAAGTTTTCAAGAAGCCAATCTTCACAGTGAGTGGAGAAATGCTATGGCAGAGGAGCTTCAAGCCCTCCATGAAAATAACACATGGACTATAGTGAAACTTCCAAAAGGAAAGAAGGCAGTGGGGAGTCGTTGGGTGTACAAAACTAAGTTTCATTCAGATGGCATAATCAAAAGGAATAAGGCTCGCTTGGTTGCTCGAGGTTTTACACAAACCTATGGCGTCGATTATAAAGAGACATTTGCTCCGGTGGCAAAAATGAACACTGTTAGAGTATTGTTGTCGGTTGCAATTAACAATGCATGGCCTCTCTTTCAAATGGATGTTAAAAATGCTTTCCTGCATGGTGAACTTGAAGAAGAGGTTTACATGAAGCTACCCCCAGGTCATCCTCAATCAAATAATCCAGAAATGGTGTGCAAACTCCATAAATCCATTTATGGTCTCAAGCAAAGTCCACGTGCATGGTATGCCAAGCTCAGTCATGTTCTGGAAAGGGTGGGTTTTTGTCGAAGTATTGCGGATTCTTCCCTATTTGTTCGTTCCAGCTTAGTGGGTAAACTAGTTGTGCTCATTTATGTTGATGATTTAATTGTGACAGGTGATAATATGTCAGAGATTAATGCTCTTAAACAGTATCTCAACAACAAGTTTGCTATCAAGGATCTTGGCACTCTCAAATACTTTCTGGGCATCGAGATGGCACACTCTCACAAGGGTTTCTTCCTCAACCAACGCAAGTATGTCATGGATCTTTTTCACGAAGCAAAAATGACAGATTGCAAGCCTGCTCGTACCCCCTTGGATAGCAACTTGAAGCTAAAAACTCACGGTGATCCAGTTCCCAATTTAAGTTACTATCAAAGAATGGTTGGCAAACTCATTTATCTGACTATCACACGTCCTGATATATCATATACTGTCAGCATTGTTAGCCAGTTTATGCACTCTCCAAGCATGGATCATTTGAAGATTGTTCATCGTGTGTTACGTTATCTTAAGGGTTCCATTGGTAGAGGAATTCTTATGCGCAACAATAGTCACACTCAGATCTCAGGCTATACCGATGCTGACTGGGCAGGCAATTCTCTCGATCGCAAGTCTACCACTGGGTTTTGTACGTTTGTGGGAGGCAACCTAGTTACCTGGAAAAGCAAGAAACAAAGTGTTGTTGCACGCTCTAGTGCAGAGGCAGAGTATCGTGCTATGGCGTCCACTGTTTGTGAACTTATTTGGCTCAAAAGCCTTCTGTTGACTTTAGGTTTTCCTCATCAACAACCCATGTCCCTACACTGTGATAATCAGGCTGCGATGCACATTGCATCGAATCCTGTATTCCATGAGCGAACTAAACATATTGAAGTTGATTGTCACTACGTTAGAAATCAAGTTCAGTCCAAGGTGATCGACACTCACTACACGCGCAATCATGATCAACTTGCGGATATTTTCACAAAAGGATTACCCTCTGCTGATTTTCAACGTCTTTTGTTCAAGCTTGGATCAATTAATCCCTTTGATCCAGCTTGAGGGGGAGTATTGGAAGAAAGCATGGGTGTATGGTGATGGGTGTATAGTGACAGAAAGCATGGGTGTATGGTGACCTTTACTTTTCCATGTTTTCTGGGTGTATAGTGACAGAAAGCATGGGTGTATGGTGACCTTTACTTTTCCATGTTTTCCTCACCTTTACTTTTCCATGTTTTCTGCTTGTCCTCACCTTTCTTTCGGCTTCTGTTTTCTTTTCCCTTCTTCCGCTCATTTATATGAGCTTTCCTTGTACTTGGTTTTACATAATACAAAAATATAGACATTCAAAATTCAATAATCATCGAATCGATTAGATCAAACACCTAATAACCACACATCAAGAACCCTAACCACGTTTTCTCCCAATTTCCTAGTAATCAAACAAGATAGAAACCCCAAAGCAAGATTCCCCCAGCCAACTTTCATCTGAACCCTAAAACCTAATCAAGAATCATCAACTTAATGTACAAACAATCAGCCAGATCCCAATGCAGCAAAACAAATTCCAGGAAAGGAGATCGAGAAAAGAAACACTAGGAGATCATAAATCCCCATGAAATTTTTTCCAATTTTTCACAATTAATATATAATCAAACAAATTTACAACAACAACAATAACTAAGTCTTATCCCACTAAGTGGGTCGGCTGTATAAATCACCTACCCAAATTTCTGATCCACAATACATTTTCTCAGCAACCAAATAGAGGATTATGCAACAGAAGAAGAAATAAAGACGCAAATGAAGAAACGAAAGGGGATCGAGAAAACAAACCATGGTTGGTTTGAACTCCTTGAGCTTCTGCAGCTGCTTCAACTCCATCTGAAGCTTGTCATGCTTTCGGCCCTTCGTTTCGAGCTCTTCCACCTTAGTCTTCAAGATTTCGTCCTTCTCCTTCAGGAGCTCTTCGGTTTTCTCCTTCTCCAGCCTCATCGCCTGAAGTTTCTCTTGCATTTCTTTGAGTTTCTTCTCGGATGACGAATGTTGGGTCTGCTTCTGCTTGGCCTGCTGTTTGAGAGCCCCAGCTTTCACCGACTTCTTGGGGGAGGTGCGAGGCTGAGAGAGGCTGTCGTGGTTCTCCTTCGCTGGGTTGGAGTCCGATGGTATTTGGATCGGGCTCGGTGCGGCGTCCGAGACCTTTCCGGCAACAATATTGGCTTCGTTTCTAGATTTTTTGTCCGTCAATGCTCTTCGGCTGGCTTTTGGCTTCCTGTTGGGCATTTCGGCAATTGCAATGTCAGCCATGGCAGAGAGAGAGAGAGTGGAGGTTGGATGGAGGGGTTGTTTATAAGGAGGGGCAACCCCAACGGTAAGATTTTCAAATTCAAATTATTAAATTTTTTTTTTTTTTTTGTCGAATTCAAATTAATTTTCTTGATTGAATAGTTGTTCGACGTCCGGTAGTTAGCCTTTTTACCGTTGGTAGAAGGCGGGTACAAGTTCCTACCATTTTTTGTTAAAGCGAAAAAGAATTTCATTGATCGAACAAACACATACAATTAACGTTACATCAAGGTGTCAAATGAACATAATTTTTTAATAAATTTTTTTTGATCTGGAGATAAATCTACACAATTTCACGAATAAAGAAAACCTTTACATGGCTACCATAACATAATGAGAACCATAAGCCCGGTGTAGGTCTGCCACAAAGACGGTAGATGTAACAGACCTAGCACTGGAGCCGCCAATCACAACACATAAAGAACCATAAGTCACCGATATAAATCCACCACAAAAACGGCAGACATAATAGACCTATCACTAGAGCCACAAAAGCCATCACAAGAACAAAGCCACAAATGACTCGTCAAAGTGCTAAAACACAGCTTGCTAAGCACAACAAAACAACAGAAAATGAAAAATTACCTAATCCTCAACCAACAAGTCTTCATGGTGAGGAAAAAATTGATTCTAGAGAGATTTATAGCAGCCGTGTGAGGAGGAACCGATGTAGATTAGGCCAAGTAAGGTAGCTTAGTCACAGTCGGTGAAGTAGCACACAACTACGATGGAAAACGAGTAGTGGGAGGTGGATCTGACCCACAACAACCATAATCCTAACCCAAATCACAAATAATGACCAAAATCAAAGTGCATATCTGGGATTTAGGAAGAAACTCCAACAAACGTCTGAGGGTTGTCAACAAAAACGGTGGGAAAAGAAGGGGCATTGGGCATCCCAGGAATCGGTGAAAAAGAATAAGAGAATGAATGATGGGGGCAGGCAGAGTCGCGAGAGAGATGGTGGTAGAGGGAAAAAAATTGTGAAAAGGTTTGCTGGTCAAGGAAGGAGAAAGAGAGACAGAAGAACAGTGTGGGTACATGATGAAATTGAAGGAGGAGAAGAGATGATGAGGAGAGGGTAAGAAAAAAAGGTGGAGGGGGTGTCATTGACCCTAAGTCGGAGCAAGGAGCTCGCAGCAGTGGTGCCAAATCTGGGGTTTTAGTAGGTAGGTGAGAGAATAAGGGTCTGAGTGGTTGTATTAGTTTTAGAGATGAATTACATTTTGCACCATTTAAGTTTGGGACCATTTGCAACTTCATAGATCATGTATAAACATTGCAATGTCATAAAAAAAAAAAACTTGTGTTTTAGTTGCAATTTCTTACATTAGTTAGACAATCTGTTAAATTACTCGTTGAGTGATAACGTGGTAATAATAAGTTCTACATTTGTGCTGACGTAACTATCAAACTTGTGACACAAGCCAAACAACTAATAAAAAAATCAATTTTTTATAATTAAAAACTTAGAAAATAGAAAAGGCAAAAAAGGAAAATTCCTAAACCCTCCCCAGTCCCACGCCTCACCGTACTTCCTCTCCCTTATCCCACCATCACCACCTTCATCCCTTTCCTCAACCACGTTGACCTGACCCAACAAAGCAACATTATCCAACATAAAACAAACCAAGATTATAACTTTCTGTACTCAACTGAAAGAAAGTTCAATTCCCAGCAAGTCCAATACTATCACACCTAGGCTCACCCTTTTGCATTTCAAATCCCACTCAATGAGTCTCTTTGCTTAATTATTGTTTGGCAAAGTGAGGGGGGTGGAGGGGAAATATTGGTCTAGAATTCTACTAGTTTTACCCCTCCTTGATTCCACATATCATATTTTATGGATTTCTAGAATTCTACTAGTTTTACTCTTGTGTTAAATTTGAATAACCATACATTCTGTCTCAAATTCAATTTTGTTTGTATCATTCAATTGCTTATGTGTAGAAGTTCGAAAAGATCATGTCTTTCTCTTCTGCCGGCTTTTAAAGTTGTTTTTCTCCATGTAAGTTTGTAAGACTAAAAGCACATCACATTTGCATAATCTGAAGTCAGGTGCATTCTGTCTAAAAAAAACCTCTATAGTTTAAGGGTAAAAGAAGATAAATTGGAACAATTCAAAAGAGTTTGAACTCCATCAATCTTACCCATCTTCATTTGGAATTCAACGCCTAAAAAAAACCAAAAGGAATTTCAAAAACATTGCAAAATCAATGCGAGCCCAGGCATTGCGGAACTGCCTTTTTGCTTCTGGTGGAAGAACACCGTGTCTTAGAACCAAGAAAAAAAGAGGATATTTTAAGCCATCTCATAAGGGGAGGGGGGGAGGGTGAATAAAATCTGCACCTCACGTGGAGAAGAAGTGAGGTTGTTGAAATTGGAGGTCCAGTCCTGTTCGAACTTGGAAGCCTTAAAGTCACATAAAAATAATAATAAAGCTTGATGTCGGTTGAAAGTTCAAAAGAAATATATATATATATATATATATATATATATATATATATATATATATATATAAATATATAAAATAAAAAAACAAAGTGGGGAAGAAATTAGAAGTTTGCTGCAAACGAAGTTCTCAAATTAATTGGGAATGTCGCTTGCGCGGGACCCTTAAAGAAAATGCATCAGAAGAAGTTATGTTGATCAACCTTTCCCAAACCATGTGGGATGGTGAGAAACTCTTAAAAATGCCCATCACTAAATGAACAGGCATGATCATTCACTTGTGCCCAATTACAAGCGTACCAGAGGAAGGTGTAGACAAAAAAGTATGGTAAATTAAATCCCACCATGGAAAACAATTCTACAGAAAGAGAGGCTCAATACATTGATCCAAACTCACTTTTTCAAGTTTGATTGATTTTTTATCAAAAAATGTCCATCAAATTTTATCCAATGGCACGAAGTCTGGACAAAATCTCAAATGGCACGAAGCCGTATCAAGTGTCAAAGCGCACGAAGCCGTAACAAGACTTAAATGGAACGAAACCACGACAAATGTCAAGGGGCACAAAGCCGCACCAAGATTCAAATGGCACAAAGCCACATTGTGCTCCAATGGCTCAAAGTCCTCACCCGCATGAGCTAAAACTGCACAAGGCATCAAATCCAAACAAATACCAAATACCAAGGACCTACGAGTGACTTGATCCCTCAACGAAGGTACGTAGGCAATCTAGGGCTCTACCTAGATGCAGTCACAAAATCAAATAAACACTCAAATCCTCAAGTTACGATTTATTCATATTAGAATCAAAGGGTATTCCTTTCCCAAAAGAAAGGTTGTAATTCATAGGTGCGTAGCCTAGAACGGGTCAAACTCAAATTAATAAAACCCTCTTCGAAAAAATGAACAAGGTTGAAATTGTGTTGAGTGAATTATTTGTTTACATATTTTGTACAATTTTTGCTCAACAAACACGGTTTAGAAAAGCAAGGATGAAAAGCACTAGGATTTAACCATTACCATTACCAATCAGACGTAATTCTACCAATTACTTATGAGTTTAACACATGCAAACTTTGAAGGTTAGGTTTTTCTAATGCATATTCTACTTGTGGCATTCAAGCTAGAATGTACATCATTCATGCAATCCGTCTGTGGTATTCATATCAAATCTAAATATGCAAGGCTCATTAGTTTTGTGAAAACCCTTTAAAAAACCATGCAATACTTAAGAGCATAGCATTCGCCTTAAGTGAACTTACAATTATCATTCACAAGAAGCATTAATTAATTTCAGGGTGGCACTTTAACAGAAATTGCATGCGATTACTTGTTTAAATATCCTAATGGTAATCAAGGATTAAGACATATGCATAGTTTAAACGCGTAATTAATAATTCCCAGCGTGCATGTATAACATCATAAGCGAACTGAAAAGAAACTACTTGTTCATACTAGCAAAGATAATTAATTACGCATAAGCCTAATTGAAAAGCAAAATATTATTAGAAAAAAATATGAATCCTAAGTCACCATACAAATAGACTAATAAATATGAATCCTACCTAAAATAGGTCTCTGAAAAAATCTAGAAAACCCAATTAAAATAATAAACTAGGAAACAAAATCCTATTCAAATCGGGTAATATGGTCAGCTAAAGATTCCCCACGTTTTGTGACCAAATAAACTCCAAATCAGATCTGCAAGGTGGTGTTGGAAAAATAAAATGTCCATTACAATTTTGCAGAATGAACTTTCGCCCCAAAAAAAAAAAAAAAAAAAAAAAAAACAGTTATCTACAATGGCTTATAGCTCAAATAAGCCCAATGTCAAACTGACAGCATTGCGCGATCAACCTTCTTTTATTCATGATCAAACGACTTAGAAATAAATGTGAAATTTTGATACAATCATCTTAAAAGACTTACGAACCCACTCCAATTAGAATTACTCCACAATTCCTTCGTTTCATCACTTTTTGCCTAAAGTAAATTCACATGTCCTACAATTGAAATATAGAGAGCAAGGTATCAAAATTCTATCAAAATAACAAGTAAATTATAACTAAGATTAGAATAAAAATATAGATTAATATCGATTCATCACTGCACTACCAACAACACCACGTGCAAAAACTCTGATTTTAATAACAAAAATGGGTTTTTCCTGATTTTGTGAATTAGAGTGTAACAATTAAAGCTTGCCTAGTAGAACGTAGAAGATGACGATCCAATAGTGAAGGAGATGGAATCTGGAAGCCATGGCCCTGGTTTTAAGTAGGTTCGGTGGTGTCGAGGAACTAGAAGGAAACGGCAAGATTCTGCAGAGAAGGAGATGGGTGGTCATGGGGTGCAATGGTGGTGAACTGCGTTGAGTTGGAATAGGCAGGGATGGTTAGGCCTCCACAACAACCGCGCTCGCCTCTGAAATGGTTTAGCCAGAGCCCAAAAAAAATTATGAGGACAAATTTGTTCTCTTTTGCCATGTGGAACAAATCTAACAACCATGTCATAAAAAAGGGAATAGGATCCTTTTCGGATTCACTTTGTGGGGATTCTAGGGACCCCCACATCCTAATCGTTCATCTTATATCGTGCGGTCAGTTTTTGTCAGGTACTATTTGTGTTTAATTTAAAAATAAAAAAAGTTAAATAATTTCTAACCGCACGATACACAATAAATGGCTAAAATATGAGGATTCCTAGGATCCCCACAATTTGGATGCAAATGAGATCCAAATCTATAGAAAAGAATCCCACATTGTCCATGTCGTCACTTCATGGTCAATTTAACGGATTGTCAACAGATGTATGAAATTAGAGTGTAACAATTAAAGGTTGCCCAGTAGAAGGAGAGATTTTTCAGTGTAACCGACATTTGAGGTGGTACATCACGTCTCACTATACAAATAGTGAGATATGTGTGTTAAAAAGTTAATAACTTAAAAAAAAAAAAAAAAAATTTCCACCACTTACATAAAAATACGTGGTGTACCACTCGTGATCATGTCACAAGAAAAAAATTTCTCCAATGGAAGGCAGAAGATGACGATCCAGTAGTGATGGAGATGAAATTTGGAAGCCATGGCCTCCAGTTTTAAGTAGGTTCGATGGTGTCGAGGATCTGGAAGAAGACGACAATATTCTGCAGAGAAGGAGAGGGGTGGTTGCAAGTGTAAGGGTGGTAGTCGGTGTTAAGTCGGAGTAGGCAGAAGCCTATTAGGCTTCTGCAACTACCGCGCTTGCATCTAAAATGTTTTGGTAAGAACCCAAAAAAAATTATGAGGACAAATTTTTATTATCTTTTTTGCCATGTGGAACAAGTTTAACAATCACGTCATAAAAATTAAAGATCCTACATTGTCCACATTGTTACTTTAAGGCCAATTTAATGGATTGTATAACGGATATATGAAATTACAACTAAAACACAAGTTTTTGCATGACATTGCAATGTTTTAAAAATATTGTATTAAGTAGCAATTTGACCCAAACTAAAGGGTGCAAAATGTAATTTACTCTAGTTTTGGTTTTATGGTAAAATTCTCTGAACTACAAAAAATGTCATTTCGAATTATTGATTATAAGAATTTTTGTAGCATGCGGCGTCAAATTCACAATCCAATATTTTTATATGCAAGTATCAAAATAGAAAAGATTACACTGCAACGTATTAGTTTTAATTTTAAAGTAAAATTCTATGAATGACAGATTGTTAATCTAAACTGCTAAAAAATTCTATGAACGACAAACTGTTAATCTAAACTGCTGATTAAAAAATATGACACCTTAATGTCCCATACAAATGAATTTAGATTATTGTAGCCAAAGTCTCTGAATAGTTACAAAATAATCAGTATTGAACCATGTTTGTAATTGTTCCCCATGAGAATGTATTTGGATAATTTGCAAGCTTTGCATAAAAAATTGTATGATCCTTCATATTTATTGCAGATAAAGTACCATATGACTTGTTTTAGGGAAATAACAATGAAATTAAATTAGAAGAAGAAAAAAAAAAAACAGGTTTCTGAAACAAGATTATAAAGTTACAAGTTTATAGAATATAATAATGACCTAGGTTGCGGCTGTGCTCGATGGAGGGTGTGCAGGTAACTGCTCTCTATTGGTAGATCTTTAAGCCCCCACACGGTAGATGATGATCTGTTTGCAGTGTTCTTTTCTTTGTAACTACAGATGAGGATCTAGATGACAGGTCAGTGGACAGTAGACACTGGTAAAGATGCAGTCGTGGCAAAGATGAACCGGTTCATCCGGAGAAGAATGAAGAATTGTGATATACGCAAGGCAGGAATGGAATTTACGATTCATCTGAAACTTCTGCAAAAAACTTTACCAGGATCCATTATATGCTCTCTCATGATCTAGAAGGGAAAATAAGAATTCCGGCAGCGAAGTAGGCTGATTTTCTTAGCCATTTACTATCATCTCCATTAATATATCATTCCAAGATTCTATAGGTCCTGGTAAGCACCAATGCAAACAATCAGTCTGAAGCTTCGCGTCTTTGCCTTGTTCAAATGGATGATACTTTCTATATGGACCTGGATGTCCATCAGGCCTCAACAAAGAAAGTTGGAAAAGGTCAAGGAGTTTGAGATTCACCCCATGTTTAGAAGCTTCTGCAGCTGCCTTCTGAAACTCCTCTAGTTCAATGTTACGCAGAATCTTATTTACTTCCTTCACTTCAACCTCACCTTCTTTAGCTGGGGCCGTTCTGTTGCAATTTCCCCCAGTATTCCACTCCCCGCCCTCAAAGTGATCAGGCGTGGATGTTCTAAAAAAGATTGTGCCCTTGTAATCTGACTTTACTATAAAGTTCATCACAAAGCTCAGGGCTTTGCGATAAGAAAAATCAAACCCCAACTCTGTCAGATTCCTTTTAGGACAGTAATGGCATCCCAGAACTTCATTGCCCTCGTAGTAGATTGCAGTTTTGAGAAACCATTTCCCTGTTGAAATTACCATGTAGTCCCAACCATGGTACTCATCCACCCATTTCTTATCAAGCTTGTCAAGATGCAGCTCAACTTCAGATGATGCCACACCATCAAAGTCTTCAAAAATAGCAGCTTCGACAAGGTATGGGGACCAAACAACTGCGACGCTAAAATTGTAAGACGGGAAGTGCCATCTTCTGGACCTGTAATCCTTGTCATGGTACACTTGGACGGCTTGTTCAACCTGAAGGGCAATGTTTCAATCAAATTTGAAACAACCTCTTAAAAGAAGTTAAATTCTAGGCTTAAACGGTATAATAAGCAACCATTTATTCTATCAACCCAGAATCTCAAACATTAAAGATGGCATGATGTAAACAGATGAACCATGGACCAAAATTCCAGAGACAAAAGTAAGAAATAAATCTACACTTATTTTTTTACAGCTATAGTGGAAACTATATGCGTGCGGGTGTGCACGCACAGACAGGGATAGAGGGTTGGAAAACAACTTTATACCACCTCAATTAACTTTTCTAGATAAAACAATTTCACTGGCAAATATTTGTATACCATGGCCCTATATCTGTATATGTTTATATTTCCCTTCTATACTTCATGTTGTGGGGTTGCTCAACCCCAATGAAGGCACAATGACTGGTGCAGCTATAAAGTGGGTAAGCTGGGAAAAGTGCAAAATCAAAATATTATGGAAGTTCTAGTGAACTGAGAACAACAGATGAGCGAACACTAGCTATAATGCTTAAAGAAGTTCTTCACAAGTTATTTGAAACTTTATCAGAATTAGTCCCAAACATTCTCAAGGGGATCAGAAACTAAAGGTTTGTTTATGATCAAAAGTTATTGACCTTGATCTATGATGAACTAACTTGACTTTAGATGATAGCTTATTCAAGTTCAGTAGAAGAGGCAGGCAAACCCTGAAAATGTGTTACTTGAAGATAGGAAGGGTAGCAAGGGAAGTATCTGACTGAAATAAACACATTCTCCACATCCTAACACGTTAAGCTTCTAGGAGAAATGGAGGCTTTAGCATTTAGGATATGGAGGGTTATTTTCTTTTTTGTGTTTCCACACTAAACCTTCTGTTCATTTATCCAAAGCCAACATTTAAGAATTTTAATACATACTGTTGAGAGCATGCACAGCAACGACTGGATATGGTTGCGAGATATCGAATCACCAATCAACGCCCATGATTTATTCCTCATCATTTCAAGGAATCTCCCTGGATCAAATTTTGGTATATCACAGTATCGTGGCTTCCACTTCCAGTACAGATACCCTGTATCAGGCCGTCCATTCCTTATGCAATTCTGAGGGTTTTCAATCGTGGGGCAGCTCTCATTGTAAGCTGCACCCGAAGTACTTGGAATCCAATCCCCAATGAAAATATCACACTTTCCTGCACAGGTGCGCAAACTTTATTTCCATTGAAAACTCACTCACTCAATGCAATTACAATTGAATTTACTATCTGAAATGACAGATTCCAGGAAGAGTAAAAGGGGCATTCAACTAATAGTATCAAAATAATTAGCGGAATAACAGAACATTAACCGAAATGATACCAAGAAAGAAAAACTATACTTCGAAAACCATCAAAAATTCCCAAGCTGCAGATCTCAAGTAAACTAAATTTCAATCATACAGAAAAACTTTCCAATAACAGCAATTCTCTCCAAACTAAATTCTCATGCATACAATACAAAAATAGAAAAACCAACAAGAACCCATTAAAGAGAATCCAAGTATTACCATTTGATGGAGCTATCTGGTCCTGATCACCATCTTCTGGAACTAGCCCAGATATTGGCGGCTCTGAATCCACAGTTTTCTCAGGAAAATGGGTTTCTTTCTCGGGAAATTGTGTTTCTTTTCCAGGAAAAGGTATCTCATCGTGATCTTCGTTTTGTGGAAACTGCACAGCAATTGGCTGCTCTGAATCCGCAGTTTTCTCAGGAAAAGGGGCTTCTAATTTGGGCGAGAACCTATTGGAGGTGGAGAGAAGGAGACGAAAAGCAAGACCCATCAGAAGAATTGCAACTCCAAACTTCACTACCAAATGCTTGTGCTTGTGATTGAACCAGTGCATCCAATTTAGCTTCATTGCATTCACTGCTTGCTTGTTGCTCTCTCTCCCCCTCTCTCTCAATGTAGTGGGTGAATGATCGTTTGATTGGGACTAGAAACAGATTAAAACTTTTGAGATGTAAGATTGGATTTTGGATCGAAGAGGGGTTTTCTTGTGGTGTGGTTTTAGGATTTTTTGGCTGCTTTGGAGACTCGTTAGTTCAGTGTGGACTCTAGTAATATTATTTTGGTTTAAGTGGGAGTGGGAAAGGAATCTCTCTTTAAATCCCTTCCACCAAATTCACCAAATTCTTAAATTTGGGTCTTTGAAATTTGATTTAACTGTTAAAATTATTATAACTTTTAAAATGTCTCCTGTTTGTAGCCGTCTGATCAAATTTCAAGGGTCCGAATTTGGAAATTGGGTGGATTTTGTGGATGGGATTCGGAGAGGATCCCTTTTCGTGGGAGTGAAGATAAAGTGAGTAAACCATGAGCTGGTGATCCAGTGGTCATGGGCGTAAAGATAAAGTGAGTAAACATGAGTTAGTGATCCAATGGTAAAGATGTCACACCTAAATCCGAAAATAAGGATGATAATTGAAAGAGGGCATGAATAGTATCTTAGTAAAAAAAATTGTAATATTACAACAAAAGTATGATGAAACCAGAGCCATCTAAAATTTCATTTAGATCTGTTTATTTAATACATCTTGAGTTTAAAGAGTTAAACTCTTACAACACACTCTTAAGATACTAAGACACTTTATTCTAAGTACAACTAGGAACCAACACATATATGATATGGCTATTCATTTAGAGATGAATCATCATCCTGTTCCACAATACCGGTACCTGCAATAGCTAATAGGGTGTGAGCATTTCATGCCCAGTATGAACCATATACCCCTCAAGTTCATTTATCACAGTTAATCAAAGTGTTATGCATCAAACAATACGGTAAAATACAAATGATATGACAAAGAAGTACCCATGAACTCACTCCCTTCTAATCCTGCTAACCTATATTTATGGCATCCAAACTTGCACATCCCATACCATGCTTATACCACTTGGTTTCGAACACCATAGAATATAAGTTAACTCCCATTCCTCCTTTAACCCCAAATTTTATTAGTAGTTTTAGTTTCATTAATATAGGTCATTCCCCCGAAGCCCAACTATATGTTCAAGCCCTTCCCCCGACGCTTGAACATATAAAGTTTAACCAAAACTTTACACAACCTAACACTTGACTCTGTATCATGTAATGCAATCTGAGCATTTCAATTTCACAAATACAATTGTAAACCTCAACATATTTAATCCAGCAACTCTACATAGCTCAACCATTCATCAAAACACAATAACATTTAACATAGTCGATATATAAATTACACCAGAGAGGAAACTATCAACCCATAACACAACCATGACAATCAAATGATTCAATTTCATACAAGCATTTTATTACTACTGTATTAGGTATAATTACTAATATCACAAAGATTAAACATGATATAGACCTATCATCAGGAAATAGAGTCCTTACCTCGTGTCTAGCTAACTTGAATACCTTTCTAAGCCTCTGAAGTGTCCGGAGTCACTCCCAGGCCTAAAATCATATAAATAATAATAAAAGTTAGTATAAAACTGAAATGAAAATTCAATTTCAGCCTATCAAATGTTTACCCAAATATACCCTTCTGTCACAATCTCGTGATGAACCAAGTTTAAGTCCCCATATTGTGACCACATTTTCATCCCTCAAAACTCCATGGGAAAATGATGAAATTACTTGGATTTTAAAGCTTAACAAACCTAGTTTCTAATCTAATAAGAGTTTCTCAAAACGGATTTAAGAGGAGAAAATAATCAAGCTCCAGAATTAATTTCACAAATAGTTTTTCTGCAAAGAATCTGCAGATTTCCAAATTCTTTTCACATTTTCAAATCATATTTTTCCATAGAAGATCTTAACCAAAATTGATGAAATAAATTGGGTTTTGTTCCTTGTCATGTCTAATTTCAAATATATAAGAAGACTTTTTAAAAATGTGTAATGGATTCAGGGAAAACAAGAGCCAAAGTGAGGCTTACAAACTGTAGTTTTCTAGAAATCAAAGTTGCAGTGGTAAGAAAATAGAAAATTAACTAATTTGAGCTAACCTTTTCTACCAATTGAAGAGCACAACAGGCACACTCTTTGCTCCCTTCTTTCCGTTTTCCTACTTTTCCCTCTCCAAAATCTCTCGCTTTCCTCTAGTTTTTCAGTGAGAGTTAGAAATACTCTCTAACCCCATCACTACATCTCTGTTTTAGAATGCTTACTCACCCCTGTAGACTACCCACATCACCCCAAAATTTATGAACAAAATCAGATTATCTTGGTTCCCCACCATGTGATGGTTGGGAAGAAGAGGAAAAGTTTGTGATGTCTACAAGTATATCTCATCCTTTGTCTGTTTTTATTTATTTATTTTTATTTAATATTTAAAAGCTAAAATAATTTTACTCCTATAATTTACACACACACACACACACACACACATATATATATATATATATATATTCCAAGTGTTGCAAAAGGTTGGATTGCGAGGCTTCTTTCCAATTAAAAATTGGAGGTCTCGAGTTTGAAACCGGCTGCTAGTGTGGAAGCCAAACTTGTGGCCAGGGAAGGCTGGAATGTCTCTATGAGTCTTCTCGGCCATCGGAAGGGGTGGATAACCGTGACTTTTCACCAGTTGTCCCTCTTTAAAAATAATAATAATAATAATAATAATAATAAAAGAAGAAGAAGATAAAGTGAGTAAATCCAGTGATTAATTACTTTTAGAGCATTTAAACTAATTATTAACAAAATTCTCTTAGAACAAGTGAAAATATAATTGGATTGTTTATATCAAAATAAAATTATGGATAGTAACATAATTTTGCACAAATTAAATTTTGTTGTATTTTTTTTCACTTACATATCATCATAGCATATCTCTAATTTAAAAAAAATAAAAAAAATATAAACATCTTTCCAATAGTCCAATCCAATGTTTTCTCTATCACTCTGTTTCTCTTTCAGATTTTTCTCTCCAACTTCTCACTCCTATATATTTTCCCAAAAAAAAAAAAACAAAACAAAAGGAGAGCAAGAGAAAGTGGCTGGTAATTACAAATTTAATGCTCATTAAAAAAAGATTAAAAATTAGGCTTAATTAGATTATTAGTCCACAATGTGATATTATAGTTGGAAGATAACCCATGTGGTAAAAAAAAAACAAAAAAACAAAAAAAAACGGATTTAGCCCTTGTGGTTGAAGTCTGTTAGGTTTTATGCCCAAAATTGAAAATTTCATCGTTATGTTAAATATTAGCACGCGAACCACACATATTAGGCCAAAACGGAACTTTCCATTAATTGTTAGTAGACTAGCTAGGTCCTTATTTTCAGTAAAATAATTCAATTTTGTTGTAGGCATAATTTACTGAACAATTATGGAGACCATAGATAGAGAGAAATGTGCGGCAATAGTAGAGAGAAGAGAGATGTGTAATTGTGGGTGTGTTCTATTCCACCCCATTGTGCCTTTATTTATAGTAGTAGGATAGGTAAAACCTTTCCCTTTAGGATTACAACATTTAATAGGTAATCTACTCCAAATAAGAATGTAAGATACATTCTCATATCTACAAGGATTTACACAATCACATTCCTAATCTAATAGGACTGCAACATTTCCCTTTGAGTGTGTAAATACTCAACAAACCATTGCATCCGATTCTTCAGCAGATAAGGTAGAATAGTTGATGAAGTCATTAGCACAACGGGTGATCACGAGTCTCAAATTTACTTTGAATTATGCATTTGTAAAAACTCACAAAAACCTTGCTATGGTAAAACCCAAAGAATGGGGAAAACCTATAGACTAAGGAGAAAAGTAAGAAAAATATGCATAATGTCTAAAACGCTCATCAAATTGGACGAAGGTAGTGAACTCAACGAAGTATGATCATCTCGGGATGGGTGCCTCATTAAAACCTAGTTAGGTAACAAAAATCCAATGGGAAAAATGCTCCTAATTGTAGGGGAAAAGAGTACATTAAGATCATGTGAGTATGCTGCAAGATACTCCCCCTAAGTTAGACATAACTTCTAAATAAGAGAACTACAAGCCATTCAACTCAGATAATTTACGCATATCGATTCCTTGGACGAACTTCTGAAATGTAGACTTGGGCAATGACTTGGTGAAAAGATTGGCCAAGTTGTCTTGGGAACGGATTGCATGACTTCAATCTCCTGATGCTTTACTGATGTAAATGTAGGCGCAATATGTCTTGGCATTAACTTTGTTGATGTATCATGGCTTGATTGGGTTGATACATGCAGCATAATCTTCATGGATCGTCATCGGGATTCAACGATGGATGAAAACACAACAAGTACTTTGAAATTCTCAACAAGAACTCCTAACCATGTCTCGCTTATGGCGTAGTGAAGTGAGGTGAGTCTTAGAACGATTCGAAGATTTGCAACTAAGGTCATATGGTGGACCTCCAAGATATTGCGATATCCCTAACAGTAAAGACATAATCATTTGGGCATTTTGCCTTGTGCGGGTTTGATAAGTAACTAGCGTTAACATAACAAACAAGGTAAGCATCATTCCAAGGATGTGATTGGATCCGTTAAGATGCGTTGAGATTTGCCCATGGAGTACCTTCAGGGTACGTCTTTAATACCAATTCAATGGATGCGTGTAGGCGCGGTGCTGCATCTTTACCAAGATCAACAGCAAATGAGATGTCATGTCTAAATACAATAAGCTAAGTACAACGAAGCGCAAAGTTGAACTTTGGATATGGAATTTCGGATTCCATAACCTCTTCAAGGTCTCATGTGCATATAACGTATAGACGATCAAAGGTATACTCAAAAGTAACATATTCGGGGTGTAGTTCGACTGGTAGACCAAAATACCGTCAGAACAATGCTTAAACTTCAGGTCAAAGCATAGACGAGTTTTCTTAAAATCCTTTATCTCAAATTCCATCTTCAGGTGTGAGGCAGTTTTCTCAAGCTCTTCCGGAGTCTTAGTGAGATTCATGTCAACAACATAAACTGTAACTCTAGCAATTTGGAATAAGACTTCATAGTTTAACACGCAAGGGCATAATTCATCCCTGACTAATCAAATAATCACGTAGATGGGTATACCACATCCGTCGGATTT